TATGATTAAAGTCAAAATAAATGATTTTAGTTAAAAAAGAAGAAGAAAAAGTTATTAACAAGTCATTGGTTGGCTTCAGTTTACAAAAAAAAAAAAAAAAAAGTCATTGGTTGGCTTCAAGAGGATATGATAAGCATCTTTTATAGATCTTCAAAAGAAAGTCAAGTCACGTGTACGCAGACCCCTCTTTCCAGTTCTCCTGACAAACAAAATTAATTGCAACCTATCTCGTTGTCGAATAAAGTTGTAAGTCACCGAAATATATCTTCTTCTTCTCCATAAGTCATTTATTCTCTTCCCAATCACTTAATTACAGAAATCAAATTAATATTTTGTAGAATTTGTGAAACATCGTTGATTAAATTTGTATTTACCTCTCTTTTGTGTAGGAAGTTGTGAGAACAATATTTTCGTGTGCAGTTGTAATAAAGACGCATTATACGTGGTGGACTATGTGAGGATAGTGAGCACGTGTGCTGACTTCCAAGATAACGGTTCCAAATTACTTGTGGAAAAAATGGTGCAAGGTGGATTAAATCAAAGGATATCAAATAAAAATATAATAATGTCCACATTCGACGTCGACAAAATCTAGAAAGTTGCAGAATCTGGTAGAACAAAGTTGAATTTCTAAAAAAAATCATCAGCGTACTATATTAGTATTGGAATTCTTGATTACCCGATGATTATGACGAAAACTTCATATATTAAACATACGTGTAAGATTAGTAAAATCTGTTCAGTTTTCACTAAATACATATTGAGTTAATAATCTTTTGCAAGAGAAGATTGCGTAACTCATTTAAATTCAGTTTTATTATAATTGAATAACATGTCCAAGAAATTCAATTCGCAGTTATGAGTTAGCTCATAGTTCTTTGGAATTGACAGTGAACATTGAACAAATGTTACGTAGATGACAATTCATTCTTCGAAGGGTTGTCATGTCCGGCCAATGCAAGCATGCCGAGTATTAAAAAGCTTATGAAAGAATCAAAAGTAGAGTTTACAGTTACTGAGTGTTACTTGGTTGAATGGGAAGTAACAATCTCAATAACTGAAAAAGAGGAATTCAGAGATCTTCCCATATTCTTGTCTAGAATCCATAGTAAATTTTCTATCTAATATTCAAATATAATTAGGGTTTGAAGCTATAATATTTGTCCATCCACACTATATCTATAATATCTTATCTCTCAGCACCTTTGCTAGAAGATAATTCTAATAAGACGATGACTGCCATAATTGGTTGTCTAATAATGTTAAACTAAACTTATGAATGTCTTATCCTTATTCCACTTGTCGCTTTGGAGAAACACATGTTGTATATCCTAATTTGTCGAATAAATTCTTCTTTTTCCGCGGATTAGAATTTTATCAAAATTTGGTGATTGATCCAGTATATTTATCAAAACTGATGAAACGAAAGGAGGATGGTGGTTTTCGATACATACAGAAGGAAACTGGAGAGACCATATCTTCGCCGGGTGAAGAGAAGGCAACAATTAATGAAGCAACAATCAGTGAGTACAACAACAAATATTTTAAGAGAATATACTTACAAAAGTAACCGTGGGTTGGATCAGGGTTAGTGCTTAGATCATCTCCACTGAGAAGTTCTTAAGACAAAGTTCTTAACAGAATATAAAAAATCTATCTTAATTTTAATTAAAAAAAAGTTAAGAATCAGTTTTTAAATGTCTTATTTAAAAACTGGTTTTTGATTTTTTTTGTTAAAAGTTTAAAAACAAGTTTTTATATTCCGTTAAAAACCCTACTGTAAGAACCTTCTAATGGAGGTGCTCTTAGAGTTATTATGTTCCTAGTTCGATTTTCATTGGAAAAGGGACTTTATACCATGTGTCAATATTAGTAAGTAACTACTGTTCTCGGATTGGAAAACTATTTAGGGCATCTACAATAATGCACTATTTTGTTTTCTATATTTCACACTAAAATAGAGTAACTATATTATAGTGCTGAATTTTCTCCAATAGTTTACTTTATAATAGAGTTACTTTATAATAAAATTACTCTATAAAAGAGTTTACTCTATTATAATGTGAAACTAGATTTTGACCCGCGCTTGAAAAGCGCGGAAATTTTTTATGATTAAAATTTTATATAATTGGGTTTTGTCTTAATTTAAAGAATGTTTTGGTATAAAATTAGTTTACCAAAATTTGTGGTGATGGTTGTTTTTCATTAGTTTTTAGTTTCAGTTTTTATTTTTAGATTTTGTTTTAAATTTTGGTTTTTAGTTTTTAAGTTTCTATTTTTGATTTCAGCTTTTGGTTTGGGTTTTTAATTTTTAGACCCGCTAAGTTAGTTTGAACTGATGTTACCAACAAACAAATCTCAATTAATCGAACATGTAATTTAAAACTGAAAAGATGACAAAATAATTTTCTAAATTTTTTGAAATAGTTTAATTTGTAAATAAAAAAAAACAAAAAATATAACCTGCGTTTTCAGCTTTTGGGTTTGGATTTTAGTTTTTAGATTTGGTTTTTGGTTTTGCTTTACATATTTTTTTAAATCTGTAAATTATTTAAGAAAAATAAAAGAATAAATTATTTAAAAGTTACCATTCAAATTTATCAAGATAGAGTGATTGTTATTTAAAATAAAAAATATTAACATGTTTTAAAGTACATGATTTAAATAAGTGATTAATAATAGATAATTTTTTTTTGTTGAAAATATTAAATATTTTTGGGTTTAAAAATAATAACATGTTTTAAAGTACATGATTTAAATAAGTGATGATTAATAGATAATTTTGTTTTCTTGATAATATTAAATATTTTTGGACCTGAAAATAGTAATTGATTTTTGATCCATTAAGGTGGAAAGTTTATTTAATGTTTTGGAGTTTTTTAAAATACTAAGCCCAAAAACCAAACAATTAAATGTCATAAAAACAAAAATAAGCCCAAAGCTCTATTCCATAAATAACCGCCGGTTTAATTTAAGTAATGCGGTTCAATCAACTATATAACTTGTATTATTTGTAACACTCTAGAAAGAGTCCAAAATTAAATGACAACTTGTATCAGTAAATAAAAAGAATGACACTATTTTAATAGATTAGATATAGCGGAATGTTGAATATTTATTCTATATTTAGAGTAAAAAAGAAGCATTCATCTATAATTTACACTGTAATAGAGTAATTCTAACTCTATTATAGAATAATTCTATTATAGAGTGAATCACTGGAGCAAATTCAACTCTATAATGAGTTACTCTATTTTTGTGTAAAATATAGAGAAAAAAATAATGTTCCATTGAAGATGGTCTTAGGCCGAAAGTCCATGTCATCTGATTAATCAAAAAGGAAAAGAATGGTGCAGGAGCTATGTTGACAGTAGTAGTAAATTATTTTATATTATAATTTTGAAGCACAATCTCACTAATTAAAAAATGAATTTTCTCAGAATGGGAAGAATCAAAAACATTATCCAGATTCCAAAACAACAAAGTGTTAGATCCCTTTGCTGCCATAGGACCAACCTTGGAGCCAACATTGTCTCACCATACATGGAAGGGATAAAGAACTTACCGATTTTCTCTCTCTCAATGTTTCTAGTTTAGAATGAATTGCTTAGGTTATGTAGAGCACATATTTTACAGATTAAGAGACACTGAAAAACTTCAAAAACATTACAGATGTTATTACATCTGTTCTTACAGAACACATTTATACAATAAGCACCTAGAAACCAAAAGAAACCTCAATAACTATGCTCCGTTTTTGTTATACATACTCTAATACAGCATTCTACTCCAAGGAAGTGGCAAGTGATAATACTAAGTTTCGATAACAGAGGGACTTTATGAAGGCACAAACTTTAGCTTACTGATTCTTTTCTTTCATCCATGGTATACACCGGTATCTCCCAGTTCTTGTTCTTCTTGGGATCATCAGTTAAGGTGAGATCCGTTTCATACTCTTTAAACGTTTTGAAGAATGTTTTAGCTCCCATCATTACCAGTCTCTCAACCATGAATAACTGGTAATTATTCTTGATTATAGGATCCAGAATCTCACTAAAGTTTGATGAGTAAGCCAGTTTGTACCTGCAGTATAAGCAAAATCCAACAACACTTCATAAATGAGTCTATATGTATACATACCTTTAAAGTTAATTTACCTGACGGCGAGAGGGGAGAAGAATCCAGGCGTTCTCTCATTAGAACCAATGAAAAGAGTCCTCCCTGGTGGGATACGCTTCTCTATCCTGTGCAGGATAAACTCTGGGCGTGTATCTCTGTCTAGATGAGGAAACTGAATCCTCTCAACTCCGAACCTGTCTTTTCTTGTTTTCAGTTTGTCCCCTCGGCGAACGTGGATAGCATCATAATCACCAAGTTGTGCTTTTATCTGTACCAAAAATAAACAAAACTTGTTCAAGCTTAAAGGCTTTTCACCTCAAGATGCAGAGTAAACAACAACCTTTTCTGCGGCGTTCCTCAAACTTGGAGCTGCCATATTAGGGAGAAATGAATAAGGAAGCATGACTGCGCTACGGTTGCCTCTATCTTTGCACTCAACAAACCTAAAACCCAAATCATCAACAATGTCAAATGAGTTAAAATGGGAGCTTATGAGGAGAATGAAGTGTATTATTACCATGCAAGAGGACTTGCGGTTCGGTTAATGATCAAGAGATTTGAGTAGTGACTCTCTGTTAACCTATGGCGACTAACTCCATAAACATGCGCAATCCCTCTTCCTCCCAACTTCATACTTGTGGATAAAACAAGATGCCATGTTTTGGAGTCGTCGAGAATCACAGGTATCTTCTCAGATATAAGGTCAATGTCATACAAAGAGTCCATTGCACAAGAGCTCCCCACCCAACTAATAAAGTAACATTTCCATTAAAGAGACAGACACTAAAGATATCCACTCCAGAAAGTATCACAAAACTTACCCATCCTCTGTAGCTTTGTCATCAGACCGATCAAGTATACCTTTCTTATTATGTATTGGATTAATGCACATTCCGGAAGGCATTACAAAGGTCCTGCACATACCCACATTAAAAAGATTCAGCCTTTACATAGAAAAGCCACACTCTAAATTCACAAAGTCCAGAACTTTAGTAAACCCCATAAAGGTAAGAACTTTTTGGAGCTAACCTGTTGAGAAACAAGGCTTCTTCAAGTGCACACCTTAGGCTAGATTCCTGATGACCTAATCCTGCACAAGTCTCGCAGTTCTTGCCAGGACAATCGATTCTGTTTCCCCAGTACAAGTACTTGTCCGAAAGCGAGTGTTGTCTCTTGCCGCGAGGAGATGTAGCGAAGTAATCGATTAGTGTCTGTTGATACGGTAAGCCTAATTTTCCGGTAGAGATTACGGAAGAGAGGAGGAGGAGGAATGCGAAGAAGATGATAAGTAAGAGAACAAGACGGTGAGATCCAGAGGAGGGTTTGGGTCTGTGAGATTTGCTCATTGTCGCCATTAAAACAAGGCTAAGAAAGAAGTACTGATACTCGTGACGGCTTAACAGAGAAGATCCGATTTGTCGTTGAGAGTTTCCGATTAAACGGCAGCAGAAGAAAGAAGTGACGTGGCTCAGAGCCAGACAATGGTTCTCGGCTTTGGTTCGACACGTAAAGTTTGCCGCACAATAACGCTTGAGCAAACCGGTTCATCAAACCAAACCGGACGGAACTGACTTAAGAACAATTCGTTTTTCGGTAACAAACTCGGTTCGGCGGATAAACCAATTTTTTTTTTTTTTTTTGTCAACAAATCTAAAAATAGTTCCAAAATTCTGATAGGTTGTAGACAATAATGGTCACCAATTTGTTTGAAAATATGTCCTCTTTAAAATTGGAGTCTAAAATAATATTTACGTTAAAAGTTTTATCCAAAAGTGCGGTCCTGAATTTTAATTTTTAGGGACTATAAGCAATTTATTTAAAAAAATATTAAGATAAAATGATTAAAATAGACCTTAAAAAGTTTTTATAACAAATATAGACCTTAACAATTAAAATGACCACAATAGCATTTAAATGTTTTATTAGATATATATTTATACTCTTTGGGTTAATTAATCCTAGACTTTATTTAGAGTTGAGGAGTGGAGTTTTGAAGATAGGGTTTCGAATTTAAAAGAATTAAAAAAACTTAAAATTTTCAAAATAAAAAGTGCTATTTTGGTCATTTTAATTTTTGAAGTTTATTTTGTGATAAAAACTTAAAAGAGGGCTATTTGAGCGAATTGTCCAAATATTAATGCCTTTTTTATATAAATTTGGGACTTTTGTGTTTGCATTTAAAAAAAAAAAGAAAAAAATTAGAAACATAAATAAATATTTCACTTATACAGACCGCCGCTAATGATATCAATCACATTGATGCTTTTGTTGATATAAGTGAGGTGTGTTCTTAACTTCTTATCACTAGGCTTATTTATCACAAAGAAACGAGAGGGAGAGAGAGACCACTTCAATGGAGAAGTGCATTTAACAAAACCATGATACAATGCTTTACTAGAGACCAATAATAAGAAACCACCAACCAAACTAGACCAGTTACAACTTACAACGAGCAATAAAAAAAGACACAAGAAATGTTCAGACTCAAAATTGAGTGAGCATACAAGGAAACAGACCTGAGTCTCATGAATAAGAAATTAAAAACATAACAGTAATAACATCAAGAGTATTAGTAATAGAGAGGCAAGCAAACCAAGTTTGGGCACTTTCTTTAGGGGGTCCTCCAATAACGCATCACTTAGCCATCATGACCTTGACAAACTCCTCATAGTTAATCTGGCCATCACCATCAACATCAGCTTCCTTGATCATCTCATCGACCTCTTCGTCTGTGAGCTTCTCACCTAAGTTCGTCATCACATGGCGGAGCTCAGCTGCTGAGATGAAACCGTTCTGGTCCTTGTCAAACACTCGGAACGCTTCCTTGAGCTCTTCCTCGGAGTCGGTGTCCTTCATCTTACGGGCCATGAGGTTCAAGAACTCAGGGAAATCAATGGTGCCGTTACCATCAGCGTCAACTTCATTGATCATGTCTTGAAGCTCTGCTTCTGTTGGGTTCTGTCCTAGAGAACGCATCACAGTCCCCAGCTCCTTGGTGGTAATGCAACCTGAAAAGCAATCAAAATCATAGGATTGTTAAATCATTCCATACTCCAATAAATTAACAATTACAAAACTCAAAGCAGACAACAAATTTCTCTCTTTATGTATTTTTCAGACAAAGAAGACAAAACTCTGTAGAGAAGCAGCATCTTAGATAGATCCAAATTCAAAGTCTCTCTCTCTTTATGTTTTTCAGATAAAGCAGTCAAACAAGTTTCTCTCTTTGTCTTTTCTTTTTAGACAAAACTCAAAGCAGACAACAAACTTAAAGGAAAACTCCGTAGAGAAGCAGACATATTAGGCAGATCCAAATTCAAAGTTTGTCTCTTTATATAAAAAACGTTTCGGGGCAATCGATTTATTATTCTCCCAAGCTAGAGATGAATCAAAGGACGACGAGCCAAATTTAAACTATGAGATAAAGGAACTTTCGTTGAAGAATCAGCAACCTCAAAAGAACAAACCGAACAAGAACCTAGAGATCACGGAACGCAGATCCGTACGAAACAGAGCAATCAACAAAGATGAGTAGAAGAGAACGTACCGTCACCATCCTTGTCGAATAAGCTGAAGGCTTCCTTGAACTCAGAGATCTGATCGTCGGTGAGCTGATCCGCCATTTGTTTTCTTTTTTTCTTCTCGTTTAGATTCCTTTTTTTTTTTTGGTTTTCTCCTCAGATCGAGAGAGGAGGAAGAAGAGGAGAGGTTAGAGAAGTGTCAGCGAGGAAACGAGAGAGACACCGTTTTTATCGGATCCTGAGCTACCTATATTAACGACTTTTACTCCGACCCGGATCCAGACCCGAATACTAGTTAATGCTATTAATAATGGTTTTATTCAAACACGCCAGAGTGGACGACAATGATTGCATCACACGTTTCACGCGGTATGTACGCGGTGCGTTGATTACCACCTCAGCATAACGGCCATATGTCTATTTATAATTGGCAGACTATGAAAAGTCTATTAGAATCAATTTTCAATTTCTTAATTCAAAAACCTTTTGATATTACCATATATGTTTGATTTCTCTAACCAGTTACTAATATATTATGATTAAATGATGAATATTTCATATATTGACATACATATACAAAATTTTAATATTTCAAGTTCTGATACATGATACGATAATGCATCTAATTTTTTTTATAGTATTAACTTTTGTTATTTATGTTATGGAAATGTACTTATTTTCGGTCATTGTAAAAACTTTTGAGCCGAAATAGTGAATATGATCATTTATCGAAAGTGATATGCGAAACCAAAAAAATAAGGAAATTATGCTAATATAGAACAAAAAAACAGTTTTCATGTCTCATTAGTATAAATCACTTTTTGTCAATTTTTTTCTCCCTTTTACCTTTTCTATTTACAAAAATTAATAAAATAAATATTTCTATGACTCGAAAAAATATATAAAAATACAGAGAAGTGATGAAATACCTATATACACAAAGTGATATTTTTAGTATTTTCAAAAACTTGTTAAATTAAAAATTTTAATTACGTTCTACGGAGAGTAGAACTCATATTCTACGAAAAATCACATAGTAGAACTCATATTCCTCGTTAAACAGTAAACTCTACAATTTTAGGAAGTTATATTCTACGTTTGTATAGGACTCTACATATTTTAGAATCTATATTATACGTTTATATAGAATTCTACAAAATAACTGAATGCGGGTTCTACATTTTAAGCCATTTCTACATATCTCAGAATACGTAATCTACAAATAACTCAAACCTCTACTATTAGTAGAATTTGCTTACAGTGGGACGTTAGTAATTCTACTTTCTGTAGAAGGTAGCTTCTACGGATAAGATTAAACAAAAATCCAAAATTTTTGGAAAATATTTAGGAAAATATTCAAAAAAGATTTTTTAATAATTGCACTTACCTTGAACGTGGATGTCCATAGACTAATGTTTGGGATCGATCGATCTAAATAGAGACCGATCGATCTATGATAGATCGATCGGTGAAGATCGACTGAACTGGACAAGGTCGATCAGTTTCTGCTCCGTGCTTTCTTATGTTTTTTTTTAATCATCGAGATCGACCGTCGGGATCGACCGACTATTTCTGGGATCGACCGATCCCATCATTCGAAAGATGTACTCTAACTTACGAAGATCATTACTCAATTTGGGTGGGTTTATATGGATATCCATAGACTAATGTTTGGGATCGATCGATCTAAAATAGAGATCGATCGATCTATGATAGATCGATCGATGAAGATCGACTGAACTGGACAAGGTCGATCAGTTTCTGCTCCGTGCTTTTTTCTGTTTTTGTTTAATCATCCAGATCAACCGTTGGGATCGACCGAATCTTTCTGAGATCGATCGTCCCGTCATTCGAAAGATATACTCTAACTTACGAAGATCATTACTCAATTTGGGTGAGTTTATATGGATGTCCATAGACTAATGAACTGGATATGTTTTCTTGTAGTTTAGGGTCATTTAGTTTTCTTGTAGTTTAGGGTATGTTTTCTCTTCGTTTAGAAATTTGTTCCTTAGAAATCATAATCATAAAAATCCACAAAACAATTACCTTACAATAAGCATACTTTCTAGTTTAGGCATTCTACAATCATAAAAGTCCTAATTAAAAACCATACAAACTAGAATCATGAACATAACTATTACATCACAGAATCTCCTCATAAGTTGAAGACAAACACTCAGGAACTTCATACTTTGACATCTTCTCGACCAATACCAGATCATTAGCTGCTTCCCAAAGATCCCACAAAACTTTAAGGCGTGCTTCTTTGATGTTATCCTCATTCACTAACGACAAATTCAATCCAAGAGCATGGCACTCAATGAACTTGAGTGCATAGACACCACAATCACAAGCACCTGCATTTAGACTCTCCATTGGGACATACGTAACCGTATACGGACTTATTGTGAAATCTTTCTGGTATATAGCTGGCTGAACTGCCTTCACAATACGTGGAACAAGGTTTGCGAACCCATCCACCTCCCTATACCTTTTTACACCAGAGCAGTCAAACACATCAATGTGCCTGTTTGTAAATATATGCACAAAGCGATCCAATGAATCCCACCGACATGAACAGGGACATACAGCCGATCCACATCTACATTCCATATCTCGTGTGTTCTACCATTTGGTGAAAAGACCCCTTTGCCGAACTGCAGTAACAAAATCCGAGTGGGTTGATGATTAATTCACAAATATTAACAAATGACATAATAATCATATAATTGAACAAACACACACAATTAATTCTATGGTTGATGATTAATTCACAAATTAGGTATTGTTTATTAACCTACTTCAATTCTATGGTATTGTTTATACAATTCACACACACAATTAATTCATCAAAGTAAGATAATTCACAAAAAATCGGTTCACAATATCAGTTAACAAACATAACAGCAACATGTTCTTTGTATCCTAATAAACGAACATACAAAGAAAAATCCAAGTGCATAACACAAACACATAGACACATGCAAAAAAGAACCGGATCGAGAAACATGCAAAGAAGAAAGAATCAGGTTAGACATAATAATCATATAGGATCAAAACAAATCAATATAGTTTCGACTTTTACCTTGATTCTACTGATTTCGGAGAAAGAGAGGCAGAGAGAAGCTATGTTATTGTCTTCTGTTCGTTGAGAGAGAGAGAGAGAGAGAGAGAGAGAGAGAGAGAGAGAGAGAGAGAGAGAGAGAGAGAGAGAGAGAGAGAGAGAGAGAGAGAGAGAGAGAGAGAGAGAGAAGGAG